CGTCATTTACATCGCTAATAAGGAATATGATCTATTCATTTTCAAATGGGTGACCCGACTCTTGACGCGCTCGACCCGCGTTGCTGGGATTGGTTTCCTGCTAAGCCGGCTGAGCTTTGAGCCGTGAATCGTAAGCTGCGTTGTCCTTTGTGTCTTGAGTCGCACCTCCTAAGCCGCCAAGCCGAGCCGTTTTATGGTATTTTTTATTTTTTTATTTATGTTTAATTATTTATTTATCTGTTTTCCATTTATGTTTTATTATTTTATTTATTTGTTCTTTATTTGCTTGTTATTTATTTATCTGTAAATATTTTTAAAATAAATAAAAATAAATCTTACCAACATATTAAAAAGTTCAAATTTTAAAAAATGAATTTTTGAATAAAAATGGACCTTACTAACATATTAGGGGGTTTAAGTTTCTAAGAAATGAATCTTATGGCCGACATTTATGAAAACAAAAGGCATTTTCATAAAATTGATTTTGAATTTTTAATAATGAAATTACTAAGAGTGTTATTAATAGCAATCTGTGTATAAATTTTTAAGAGAGAATTTTTTTTAAAATTTTATTAACATATTGAAAAATTTAGAAAAGATTTTTAATATCAAGATTCTCACAAAAATTTTAATTATCACAAATAAAAGCTTTTTATAAAAATTAAATGAATCCAACGATAGAACCTCTTCAAAGTATGACAAATAGTCTCTTTAAATACTTCTAAGGTGAGAAGACATTCTTGAATTATTATCAACATCTTTAAGTAATTTAGGGATAGTTTTCTATATAAAATTACTTGGTAAAATTTTAAGCTTTTGGATAATACGAAATTAAACTGTTACTATCCTATGGATGAGTGATATAAGGGTGCTATAATCTTTTTTATACGTAATCGTTTTCTTAAACCTAGTTCTGGTTTCATATACATGAATATATTAGGTGACTAATTATACCTAGATAAAAAAAATTGGTAGTGACTCATTTTCTAGCGACAGGTCTACCGATCTATACGTTATGATAGTTTGACGACTTCATTAGAGACTAAAGAGTCAGGCCAATAAACTCGTGTTAAACTTAAGATTTTTTTTTCTTTGAATGTTTTATTTATTTATATTTGTATATATTCTGTCATTCATTTATATCTACATTACATGAGCTCTACACTCGTACTCATTCCCTTAAAAGAGAGTTAAGTACATATGTTTTTCATGAAATTTCATGTTTCTACCCAAGATAGCGAAACATTCTCACTCGAATTGAACTATTTTTATTTATAGCTTATAATGGATGAAGATTAAAATACCTTACTAGTCTGTAAGGGACAATGATATAAAAAATAATTTAAGAACTTTTAGATTTAACCTAAACCACATATAGTTAACCTTATAAAGCCTAACATATAGGTAAAACCATGTTTCCTTTTACCCTTTAAAATTAACCTAGAGTTTAGGAATCATGCTATTTTATTTGCTTTCATGTGCTAATTAATTTGTTTCTTTGTTACCCTGATATTGAAACTAATCAATTTCTTTTCTTTGCATATTCATAAACAATGCATAAAGACTTATAAAAAAATTACCCTAAAGTTATTTTCAATAAAAACTTTCATAGAGTCCACAAATTGTTTGGTTTGTGCCTAATTTATCTATAAAAACTGCCATGAAGTTATTTTATTTATTTGTTCTTTATTTATTTGTTATTCATTTATCTGTAAATATTTTTTTAAAAAAAGAAAAAAATATTTTTTAAATAAAATAAAAAGAACCTTACCAATATATTGGAGGGTTCAAATTTTTAAAAAATAAAAATGTTTAAATAAAAAGAATCTTACCAACATATTGGAATATTCAAAATTTTAATAAATTATTTTAATAAAATAAAAATCATTACCAATATATTGGAAGGCAATTTGATTTTTAAAATAAGGTTTTATCAATATATTGAAAAATCTTATTAATTTTTTTTATTTTAAGGGAAAAAATAGTTTTCAATAAAGTCTTACCAATATATTGGAAGGCAATTTGATTTTTAAGGTAAGATTTTACCAATCTATTAAAAAACTTTATAAGTTTTATATAAAAATTAATTTTTAGAAAAGAAATAATTTACATAAAATCCTATTAATATATTAGAGGATAGTTTTTAGCAGAAAATCTTACCAACATACTAAAGGATATTTATGGAAATAAAGAGTTTTTCTTTTCATAAAATTATATTTTGAATATCTGATAATGGAATTACTAAGAGTGTTATAAATAGCAATTTCTACGTAAATTCTTAGGTGAGAAATCTTTTCTAAATTTTATCAACATATTGGAGAATTTAGATAGGAATTTTCAATATCAAGATTATGAATTTTATTTGATTATTACAATAAGTTTTGAAAAAATGACAATGAATCCGATAACGAAACCTCTTCAAAGCGTGACAAATAATCTCCTTCAATACTTTTGAGGTGATGAGATATTCTTAAATTATTACCAACAAATTGGAGTAATTTAAGGATAATTTTTTATATTAAATTATTTGGTAAGTTTTTTTAGGCTTTTGGATAACACAAAATTAAGCTAATATCATTCTTTGGGTGGGTGATGTTGGGATACTATAATCTTTCTCACACGTAATTGTACTTTTAAACCTAATTTTGGTTTTGTAGACTAGAATCTACATTTTACAGATACCAAAGTCAAGCTTGAGATATCTTTTTAAAATGGGACAGATTCAATTAGGCGATCAATCGTACCTAAATAAAAAAGATTGGTAGCAACTCCTCTTATTAGGTTTAGCTATAAATTTACAAATCTATACGTTATGACACATATCATGTTACTGTATCATGTTTTGAATTGTTAAATCTATTATAAATCTTTATAAAACTCCTCCAAGATCACAACTTTCCTTGCATTTTTTTTCTTCACAAAGATTTTGCAAAGTGATCTTTAATTCTTTGTTTATTTATTTTGCAAAGTACCTAATCAATGGATGAAGAAAAAAAAAGATAAGAGGTGGAGATAAAGACAAGCAATAATCTTAATCCTAAATAATTCATTTACATTAATATTTTAAAATTGAATAAATTTTTGGATCCTAAAAAATTTGAAAGTTATACATCTTAACTTATATGAAATTTGGAGTTTATGGTTGGTATTTCTTTTTCTTTTTCATAAGAATCTAATATATGTATGTATGTATGTATGTATATATTTTAAAAGCCTATATATGTTTATTACAATAATTAGACCTTTTAATAGAAAATTTATATTTAAATTTTTATATTAATTAGTTTATTGATATTTTTTAAGTAAAAACTAGTAAACTTTTCATGTCCAACCCAAAATTTCAATCTTACATATATATATATATATATATATAAGTTTCTAATAAAATCAATTGGTTTCATACTTATCAAAATTGGATTAGATAATGACCTATTCAAATCTCCCATACTCAAGTCAAATAGTTTAATAATAATCATAAACCTAATTAATCTATTTATAGTAATATTTTTAAATTTGAATAAATTTTTGAAAACTTAAAAAAGTTAAAAGTTATATATGTTAACTTAGATCAATTTGGAATTTTAAGTTGGCATTTTTTTTCCTTTTTAAGTTTGTGTTTATGTGCGTGTTCACATACACACATACTATATATATATATATATATATATATATATATATATATTCAAAATATCACATTCTTTTCCTTGAGTGTCACAAAAGTCATTAAATGTTTATTCCAATTATGGAATTTGATCTTTAAATGGAAATTTATATTTGAATTTTTATTTTCTTAATTAATTGATATATGCATGGTAAAAAAGCAAACTTCCTTATCCATTCCCAAATTTCAACCTTCCATATATAATTAGAAATAAAATTAGTCGGTTTGATTAGGGGAGAGAAAAAAATTGAAAAATAAAAAAACCGAATCGAACTTATGAAGTTCGATTTGGTTCAGATCAATTTTTTTGTTTGATTCGGATTAAATTTAAATATTAAATATATATAGATTTGGATTAGATTTAGAATCAGGTAGTGAAACACCAAAAAAATTTAATCGAATTAAATTATATATTTTTATTTGCATATATATTTTAAAATTTTATAAAATAAAAATAATTATTTTATATCTAAATTTATTTAAATATATTAAAATAATATATAAATTAAAAAAATTAATCGAAGCAAACCAATAGAATTTAATTTGCAATGAAAGGTCGATTTGAATTGAATTGGATTTTAAAATTCATATATTATGCATTATTTGAGAAGTCAAATCAAATTCGATCTAATGTGAACCTTTCTCAACTCTTTCATAGTTACAAGAACTTTTGGTCTCGAGTTACAATTAGATAATGACATTTTCAAGCCTTCTGTCTTGAATCAAATGGTTCAACCATTGATCACTTAGGTTGATAAAATATTTTAAATAAAATTTAAAATTATATAAAATTTTTGTAAACTTTAATAAGGTAAAAAGTTGTGGTATTATAATTAGAAATATTTATTACTATTTAAAAATTACAAAAAAAGCTAAGGTTTAAAGACTTTTTTTGGCCAAAGAATAATGATATAAAGATTATAAAGATTTTTTTTTACTTTTTATTTTGTATAAAATATTTTTTATTTTTAACTTATTTTAAGAAAAATATTTTTTTTTTCAAAATAATTAAGGAATCTATACTTAAGTATAATTTTAAAATTATCCCTAAAAACTATATTTAATTTATTAGATTTAATCTAAAACTTGGCAAATCATTGATTTTTCGTAAACATAACGAGTCAATATCGGCTTTTTTTCGAATTAATTACAAAATTGGTTCAATTAAAAAATCGACTCGAACCAAATTTTAAGATCGATCCGGATTTGATAACTATGGTTGATTTCTTCGATCTTCAATATAAATAAGGTGCTATAAAGTATCAAAACTAACAAAAACAAAAATTTTCAATTCACCAAAAGTGCAAAACAAAGAAAAAGAAAACCATTACTAATTAGATATGGTGACGACTCGATCCTCTCGACTAAGGCTGAACATCACATCGGCAGAGATGGTTGCGAATAGTGAAGATCTTTTGAAAGATATCCTCCTCAGACTACCCATCAAAACTCTAATAAAATTTAAGATCGTATCTAAACCATGGCTGTCTCTAATTTCCTGCCCCCATTTTGGCCTCTCCTATACTCATTTCCTCCAAAGCAACTACTCTCTTAAACCACAGGCCCTTTTCCTCGACGTCGTGTACAAAAAACTACCCTCAAAGTTCATGGTCCTTCGTCTGAATCCTGAGTTAAAGCGACTTCCTCTCTTTGATTTCATTCATGCCCGAAATGTTAGAATCCTTCAGTCTTGCTATGGCTTGATTCTTTGTGTTTCTCAAAGTAATAATAACAAGAGTTATTTCTTATGCAACCCTGTTACCAAGAAGTTCAAGATGTTTTCTTTTCCTGTGACGCGTGAAGTGACCATTGGTACTAGAGAGAGGTTATTTCATCATGTTGGAGTTAACTTGGCCTTTGATCCATTCAAATCTCCTTATTATAAGATTATTTCCATATGGCAAGATCTATTTTTCAGAAATGATCCTGAAAGAAGTAGATGTTATATGCACTTTATCGACATATATTCTTCAGAGACCGATTCTTGGAGCGTTGCAAAAATCAAATTCGCTTGGAGTCAAGAGATGGAATTTGATCGTGCTGTTTTATTCAATGGTGCTATTCATTGGGATTCTTCTTATAGAAGGTCATTTTATTTTGATCCATACAATGAGTGCTTGAAACAAATGCCAATGCCAACGGTAGATAGGACATGGGTTCGGTATTTGGGAGAGTCCGGGGGCCATATGCATATTGTAGCTGCAAACGGATTTTCTTTTTTTGAATTTAAGATTTTTGAAATGGCGGAAGATTATTCGAATTGGTTCCTGAAGTACAGGTTAGATCTTGACGCTAAAATGTATGTTTTGGCCCCAAAAGACACTGTTCATAATTATCTTCTGTCTTGCGCTGTTCAATCTGATGAGGTAAAAGGGGATTCGCTACTAGCAATATTTCCAGGGGGATTTGCAATTTCATATAATTTGGTGGATGGGACAGTGAAGAGGCTGCGTTGTTCCAACATCCAAAACTATGGACCAGATTTTGAAACTTTTCGTGTCAGCTGCCGTTACTTTGAGACACTCGCTTGTGTCTAAAACTTGAGAATGCAGCTTCTGGATTGACTTTAATCAAGGTAATTAAGTCATCCATTATAACAAATTGATTTTGATGAAAAAAAATTAAATTGGGATTTTTGTTTTTAAATTGCTGATTTTGATTTTACAGGTTTTAATTGAAGACATTCATGCATGCTGGTTATTTGGTTGCTTAATCTTGGTTATGAATCATTGAAATAAGTGGGATATTTTTAATTTTTTGTCAAAATAAACAAATCGATGTGAAGTAGGTTGAGGTTGATTGAACAATTATTTCACATAATGTTATGTAATTGCCAGTTGTTTAAGCTTCTTTTGTGTGTGTGTGTGTGTGTGTGGAACTACTTTTTTATCTTTACTTCATTTAATTAATTAAATTCCTATTTTATATACCTTTCAAAACAACTTAATGATGTTATATTATGAAAAATATTCTAAGGAACTCACATTAAAATATCTCTTATAATATAAGATTTTGTTCTCCCAAAGTGAAAATGAAATTGAGGATGAATGTTTAAAATAAAATATTTTAAAATAAAAATTCAAAAATTAGGGGCACATGTCAAGCACATGCGAGTTAAATGATAGCCAAATTCCATGGTAGACACGATGTTAGTTTTAATTGTAGACTAGATTGATACTCTCATTTTGTCACGTGGTTTCTTAAAAATATTTATAACTCTTTTTGTTTAATTAAATATAAAATACGATTTTAAATTAAATTATATTAAATAAGATTTATTTAATAATTTTTATTTTTTATATATTTAAATTTATGTATTGATATTGGTATAATTATATTTTATCAATTATGAAATTTAAATAAACAAAAATTAATTATTTATAAATTACATAATAAATATGCATTTGAAAATTTATTTTATATGCATTTTAAAAAAATATTTATATTTTATTTTATATCTTAAAATATTTATATTTTATTTTATAATATAACAATACTAATTTCACAATCAAAGTAATTAATTTTGGTAATTATTTCTAAAAAAAATGGTAATTATAAATTCGCCTACATAATAACTCCTTGGCGGTTGAGTAAATCCAAATCTAAGTCAGAGACAATACGAGCATATATATATATATATATATGAAGTGTCCGCCTGCTACAAATTGTATTTCACGGGCAAAGAAACCAACGATATGGCTGACAATAGTAATCTTCCTCCTCTATGTGCAAAGGGTTGTGGCTTCTAGGTTCCATTGAAACCACGAATTTATGCTCCAAGTGTTACAAATCATTGGTTTCCGAGTTTGAAGCCAAACTGAAAGTGTCTGCTACTTCAACTGTAGTATTGTACCACCAAACCCCTCTGTTTCTGAGCTTGCTTCTTCATCATCTGTTTCGACGCCATCGAAACCCAAGAACAGAAGCGAAAGCTGTAACAAGAAGGTTGGTTTGTTGGGATTTTCGTGTCGATGCGGAAAAGTTTTCTGCGGGGTTCATCGTTATCCCAGGGAACATTCATGCAACTTTGATTTCAAGACAGCTGATCGCCTGATTTTGGCTAAACAAAACCCTCTTATGAAGGGTGACAAACTAGAATCAAGTATTTGATTTTCATTTTTTATCTTTAGATTTTATAATATTGTATTCTTGATTTCAACTTGTTTTTTTTATTACTTCTGCATGGTTTCGATTAGTTTTAAACAAGCTTCAATGCTACCATGCGATTCATTTCTAGATTTAATCGTAAATCTATATCTAATTGGTTATTTTCAATTTCGTAAATTAATAGTTAAACTTTATTCAAAGGTAGTGGTATAAAAATGATATATTGTTTGACATATTTTTAGTAAATTAAATTCAAAACTTCATTTTAATAAAATTCAATCACATAAATATCATACAAAATCATTTATTACCAATTGTCGAAAAAAAGTTCGACAATGATAAAAAGAAATTGGATTAATGATAAATAAAAAGAAGTATAAAGAAAATTCAAATTTTCTTCGGTTGGTCATATAAAACAGGAATTTTTTTTTAATAAAAATATTATAATATAAAAATAAAAAATTAATTATAGATATTAAAATTTATACCCTAAACCTGTTAAATATTATCTCTTGAAAATTACTGCAATATAAACCTATTAAACTAAACTCCAAGCTCATCTAGCTTACACTATGATGAGTCTCGCGTAGACGACCATTCAAAGATGCAAGTGAGAAGACCTTACTAACTGCCTGCATTTAATGAAATTGTAGCGCGAGGATGGAACAAGTAATTGCAGTACTTCACATGGACCAGTGGTTGGTGCCCCTGAGATTTTTGGCCTCGCAAGGCAGGAATTGTCTATCACTAAATTTTTTTGTTTTCTTCTTTTTTTTTTTGTATTTTTTAAATTAATTTGATTAATTTTAAATGATAAAAAAATAAAAATTAAATTGGGCTTTTATGAAATGAAAGTGGATTTATTAGCTTTTGGGCTTCTAAGCCTATATCATGATTTAATCTAAAGTTAAATTGAGCTTTAAGGATGGATTTGGGCTTTTAACTAAATTTTGAATTAACCCCAATTAAATTGTGTTTTAACCTAAATAGAATAAAATTTGGATTTTATCTTATGCAAAATGATCAAAAACAATTCATTCGAAAAACTGCTTAAATGAGTTAATCCAATTACAACACTTAAATTAGTTCAAATTAAACCATTTGAATTAAGCACAAAAATTGAATAAAATTAAATTGATCTGGACAAAATTAGATGTTTACAAAATACGATAGTATTTTAAGTAAAAATAAGCTTGAAAATCTTGCATAGATATTGGAAAAAATTCAAATATTTATTTTTATCAAGAAATGTTATCTTCATTTTAAAAATTATTATAATTTTTAAAAATAAATGATCAATTTTCCTAAATTCCCCTAGATATTGGAGAATTAAGGAAATTTTCTATCACTAAAGATTTTTCTAAAAAAATAATGCTAAGAAGTATAAAAATAAAAGATTTGAAAAAATAAAATAAATTAATTGCATTGTGTGATTTTTATTTGTGTCATTTATTTCATATATGGTATTACATGCATCATAGTTAGTAATAAATGTGAAATAAAAAATAAAATTTTGAAAAAAAAAGATTTTTGAAATAAAAAATATTATTTTAAAATAAAGATAATTTTTGGAATCTTACCTATTTGAAGGTTTTTCAATGATTATTCTTTATAAAAGAATATTGAGCCAGATTTCAAAGATAATTATAAAAATCATAAGTGGAGAAATAGTTTTTGAAATTTTATCTAAATATTGCAGAATTCAAAAGAATTTTTTGAAATCGAAGATTTTTATTTTATTCTTAAATAAAAAGGTTTCAAAAAAGATTTTTACAAAAATAAAAATTAAAAGAATTATTTTAATTTAGGATTAAGGCCATTTTAATTTATCAAATCAAAATGATAACATATAATTAGTTAGTATCGTTTTTAAAATGGGTTTTATTGGGATTCTAATTTTTTTTCATGTATAACTGTACTACCAAATCCTACTTTGTTTTCATAAACCAAAAATTATCTTTTTAATAGGGTTTAATTAACTTTAAGATTTTATTAAAAAAATAAAACTTTTCAAGTGGCTAATCATATCTAATAAAAAAATATTTAAGACAACTCCTTTAATTTAAAATTTTGAAAATTCGTTTAACAGTTTTCAAAACCGTTATGATAATTGTATTTTTAAAATGGTCACTAAATTATTAAAATTTTTAATTTAGTCACTAAAATTTTAAATACGTGTTTTTTATCATTAAAAACTAATGGTTTGTTAACATGATAATACCATATGAGTTGTCAAATATTACATAATCTCACATTAGCTATCAAGATGTCACATGACATTATCATATCATCTTATATGTCATGTGATATTGTTAATAAATTGTTATAAATTTTAGTAAAAATAAAATTTGCTGGCACGATAATGTTATATGACATCTGACAATTGATGTAACATTACCATGTTAACATATTGTTAAAAGTTAAAAATTATGTAAAAAAAAAATTATTCAAATTTTTTATTAAATTAAAAAGTTTAATAATTTAGTAATTATTTTAAAAATACAATCATAAGTGAGTAATTAATTATTTAATTTACCCAACAAAAAATAATAAATTTTCATTTCATCAATTTTAAAATTTAAATTTAATTCAAAATGAAAAGTAAATTTACTTTAAGGGAACCAAGTCTAAAAAAAGTGAGAAGCGAAATTGCAAATGAAATTTGATGGCACATCGAAAACTAGTGAAAGGGGAAGTTGATAAAGAAGCCACCTCACCATTGGTACGTAGCTACGTGGTTTATTTAATCTTATTTAATCTCTTCTCAGACTAAATCGAAAAGACTAATAATTTTTCATAATATATTAAAATAATATTTTATGCTGTTTATTAGATTTAATAATTTATGTATTTATATTATATTAAATATTAATAATTTATATAATTATTTTATATTTTATATAAAAATTATATATAATAAATTATATTACTAAAAAATATATAAATATATATTTTTTATCTTTTTAAAATTTATATATAATTTTTATTAAAATTTTAAATTATATTATTTATATATTTTAAATTATTTTTATATTATATTATGACATCACATTTTAAATTATTAGAATTTCTATGAAAAACCTCTAATTTATATAGGCTGCACTATAGCTGATGAAACAAGGTCATGGAAGCCCGTCGACGACTAATATATCTATTGGCTCTAGGTCAGCTGCTCTATCAACCCCGCCCCCCATTCTAGTCTATTCAAGTTGGATTCAGATTGTAGGGTCTATTTAAAAAAATAATAAAATTAATTTTAGTGAAATTAAAAATAATAATAATTATTATAATAATTATGATTGAAAAAAATTATTATAATTTTAATTTTAAAAAAATTTATAAAAAAAATTATATTAAATAAATTTTATTAAAATTAATATTTAAATTCAATTGATAAAATAATGATAAACTGTACCACACTAAAAATACGATACAATCTAAATCCTCACTTAAATCCAATCCGACCCAAACCCCCTCCCCAAAACACTTCATGCTGCCTAATAAGCC